AATTTAAAAGTTAGGCGCTATTCTTAGACATGCCTGAAGTCTTTTTTAATATTTTTGAAGTTCTTGGTTAAGAAAAAGTTTTCATATCTTCATTTATACGTGTAACTAATATTTTCCTTAAGTGTATAATACACTTTGCATTGTGCCTTCCCTCGTGGCCATTTTACGCGTTGAGAGTATCTTGTCTTACGTTAAACTTTTACATTAATGCGGTTTCATACTTTGTTATAATGCTTGTTACAATGTTTGATGTCAGTTTTAACCTATAGTGTAAGACCTCTTAGCTTGATGTAAGGTCATCTAACTTGACAGTGCTTCTTATTGAATATAAACTCACACAATTTGTTTCAAGTTCATTGATTTAGAGCTTTTTTCCTAGACATAATTCATCAAATGACTGAGCTACATTGACATTTTCATGCCATGTAAAGTTTATGTCTACGTCATATCGAGGGTAACTATTTTTAAATAATTTTGGTTGTTAAAAAATGCAGTACTTTAAAATTGTTAAAAAATCATTGTAAATACTAACATCTCAGAAACCTATTCTATTTAATAAAGAATAATGTTATTCATAGTGAGGATTACCGATAGTCTTCCTACGTCACATGTTACAACTTTTTATTTGATGCATTAATATAATAGTTTTTTATTATTTCATGCATCAAATAACAAACTGTCACATATATCTCACGTAAGACGACTACCGATAATACTTACCATGAATAACATTACTCTTTAATAAAGGGTGGCTTGGAGTGATGTGGCAATGATACAGAGAGACTCACCACTCTCCCCACTACAAAAAACATGTCCTTGCACATGCAACGATGATCAAGTAAAGCAAAGATTTGAAGAAGAATGTTATTTAGATATGCCTTAAACCACAAACTACTCTTATTCACAAAGCAAATTCCACCTCAGAAAGTGTTCAGTACACATCTGCATATGATAAAGAAACCAATATCTTGTGTTAGGAATCTTAGGATAGGATTCAATAACTAAACTGCTGACAACCCCAAATCTTTGGTGCTACAAAGATGACTCATGCAGCTAAAAGATAAGATCCAGCTACTACTTTTTTCCCCAATATAAAGGATGAAGAAGCATGGTTGGATCTAGAGAGCTTCTTGTATCTGACTCGATCTTTTAGTTTCTTTGAACATTTTTAAGCAGTCTTTCATTACTTACAAGCAAAGCAAGGAGGCACAAATGGAACTACAATGCAGAAAATCGACATTTGTGAATAAATTAGATAAGAAATATGCTATAGGAATTCCAATAAACTCCATGGACAGATCTCCAAGAGGACTTTTAACCGATCCTGCTAGCCAATTCAGTGTTATGCCTTCTCCTTCCCATCAGTATTTCAATATCAGACACAGTAAGTTTTTTTTTATTCGTTTTTTCAGCCATTATGAGCTCAATAAGAATTCGCAGTTTCACTAATCATAATACTAAATTCTGGGTTTTGTTGGAAATGCAGGTAAAGCACATTTAGCAATCCTTAGGATGAAGAAACTTGGAGAATGGATGGATAATTTTACACAAGGAATCCGAGAGCATGGTAAAGCCTTAACCTAGCTTATTTCAAGTAGTTGTTATTGGACAGTTGGAGAATGTAGTTTCCTTTCTTATCCACCAATATATAATAAAGATTCTTGTTTTAGGGCTAATGTTCTGTTTTATTTTTATCCCTGCAGTGAAACTGGGACCCAAATTTACAGAAACTGTAAAAGGGAAGTTGAGGCTCGGGGCAAGAATCCTTCATGTAGGTGGAGTGGAAAAGGTTTTCAAGAAGATCTTCAATGTTTCCCATGGTGAAAAGCTTTTAAAGGCTTCTCAATGCTATTTATCGACAACAACTGGGCCGATAGCAGGCCTACTGTTCATTTCCACTGATAAAATTGCCTTCTGCAGTGAGAGATCAATTAAACTCTCTTCTACATCAGGAAAGCTGCTTAAAATACATTACAAGGTACATATCTGCCTCTATTCTCATGTTCTGAATTTCAATTTTATCCCCCATCTTCTCTTAGAAAATGAAAATTTAACTGGTTTCAAAACCTTGCAGGTCGTAATCCCTCTAGGTAAAATAAAGAGAGTTGATGAAAGTGAAAATGCAAAAAAACCAAAGCAAAAGTATGTGCAAATAGTTACCGAGGACAATTTCGAGTTCTGGTTCATGGGATTTCTAAATCATCAAAAAGCTTTCAAGTATTTGCAGCAGGCAACCACCCAAGATCCATCAGTAGGAGATATAGATGCAGGGATGATCTCTCCATAGAAGCTACATATACAATCACAACAAATCTGGAAAATTTTGTAACTACAAACTGTTTGTATATGCCACGGCATAGCCTAATTATGAGCATATGTAAATTTAACTAAACACCCGAAGATAGAAAGACAGTTTTGGAACGATGGATTCTGTATTGGATTGGCTCGATCTTTTCAGCTGCAGTACATTTTAAATATAATACATAACTATTTCTCTTACACACTGTTGGGTTTTGATACCCAATGAATCCCGGGCGATGATGTAAACGTTGGATTAAACTGTTACCAACAAGTAAGTCAAAAGGCTCAACCCGAAATCAAGTGTGCTGTTGGAAGTAACTTAAACAATTAATGTTGCTTATGACCCATATATATTACTTCTTAAATGACTTTGAATCTTGGCCCATTTAACCTCTTTAATTGGTCCAACTAAAGTCTAACTTAGTCTATGACTCTATATATATGGTGTCTTTGCACTA